CCTTCCACTGGACTGTGGGCGCCCTGTAGACAGGACGTCCGGACCCCATCACATCCCAGTGCCACACTCAGGAAGTGCTCATCAAACAAATGCACGACTTGTTCCCTTAAAGGGTAAGGATGTTTGACTTCCCACTGCAGTTATATTTTCCCCTTCCTTTTTCAAAACCTTGCCTTGCCTGGGTGGAGGAAGGACAAGTGGAAAACATCTGTCTGGTGGGTTGACACGGGTAGGGATAAAGGATGGAAAGAAATCTGGTGTCTCCTGTTTACCATGGACGCTGAACTTGGAAAGAAAAAGTGCAGCCACAGCAGGACAGTTGAGCGGAGACAGCTGCCCCGCTGGGGCCAGCCCAGGGCTGACCCAGCAGATGGGAACTTGGGGGGACCAGGGGTCTCCAGGCCCCCTGCCTGCTCTGGCCACGATGGGGAATGGCTGGTCCGGACCAGCCGTTTGCACAGATACTCTTTCTGTAAAGGACATTCATGGCTTTTCCATCTTTCCAAGAGGGATGGAAAAAGGATCTCTGTCTGTGAGCCCCTGCTGCTTCCCTGAGTACGGAAACCCAGGGGCAATGGCCCTGTTGGTGGATACTGTATGCTTAAAAGGATAATAGAAAATTCACATAAGGATGGGGCCTGTTCTGAAATTACCTTACAAAGGGAAAGACGATCAAGAAGACGAGGAGCTGAGGGGTCTGAGCCTGAACCTCACATCACTGATGGACGCCCGTTAGCACTCGAGCTGCTAACACGGGGTATCTTATTAATGGAGTTAGGCCGGTCCTTGGGAAATGCTGAGTGATTGCAGCCAGGAGACCCCAGGGCAGCCTTGGGTCACTCCCTGATTGTGTCCTCCAAGTGCCAGCCTACATGACACCCCAGTACCAGCCAGCAGGTGTCCCAAGTACCAGCCAACATGTGCCCCACCCTGTCCCCCGGTGCCCTCTGGGGTCTCCCCGCCTCACAGCTCCGTAGAGGGCGGGGCTGAGGAGGACTAAACACCAAGAACCTGCAGTGAACGCCACCATTCCACAGGTGGGAAATCAGGGTCCTCACAGGAGCGGGGCAGGAGCGTCAGATTCAGAAAGGAGATGTGAGGATGGAAGCCGAGGCTGGGGTGATGCAGGGCAGCCCCGCTCCTAGTCTGGAAGGTAAGGGGCGCCCTTGCCCGCCCCCTGGCTCCCGAGCGCTGCTGCAAATTTGTGGGATGAGAATTCTCTCGTCCCATCTCACCTCTGCACCTGCCCCCTCCTTCAGGTGGGTGTTTTGGAGAAAGCAGCCTCATCACAATTTAAGTCCCTTTTCCTGCCCTTGCCTCCTGGAGGACAGACTGCACGCTCGCTGGTGTGGCCCAGGATCTGCCCTGCTACCCTCCCTGCCCCGACTTGCACCTACACAGCAGCCTGGGCAGGCACCTACCCTCCCGCTACCACGCCCGTGTGAGGGCCTGTCCCGCCCCATCCTCAGGCATGCCAGACCCCTCCCCACCTTGTGTCCCCTTAGCCGCTGTGACTAGGTGTCTCTTCCCACCCCACGGCTCCCACAGGCCCCTGCATCGCAGCCCTCATCCCCCCAACCCGGGGAGGTCCTGGACAGCTGACCAGCCAATACCCACCAGGCCACGGTCTCCAGGGGAAAGAGCTGACCCGTCCCTGCCTGGATCCCTGGAGCCTGAAAGCTCCAGGAACTTAGTAGGTGCTTTGAAAGTGTGGTTGAATGAATAACCAGGCAGGGGTCAGGCTCAAACATCCCCACCTGCCACTGTGCCAGAATTCCTCGCCTAAACCCTCAAAGAGTGGTCCAGAGGCCCCAGCGGGGAGCTGTCTGAGAGCCTCGTCCCAGAACTGCTGAGTCAGAACCGCATTTCAAGAAGATGCAGATGACTTCTGCTCACAGCCAGGACGGAGGAGCTCTGCTGGAGGAGACGGAGGCGGGGCTGGGACTTTCCGTCAATGGCTCAGCGAGGGGAAGTGGGCCCGAGGCCATACAGCAGCATGTTGCGCACTGGACCAGAAACCTGGTCTTCTGACCCCAAGTTCACTGACCTCTGGGGGAAACGACCACAGAGGAAGAGCAGGAGGCTGTCCTGCCCCTTCTTCCTGGCCGGGACCTTCGCTGTGTTCCCGGGGAGCTGAGACCCTCTTTGTGGGTGAGCCAGGGAGGCCAGGGAGGGCCGCGCCTGCCTTCCTGGAGGGGAAGGTGTGCAACCAGAGCCCCTCTGCTGTTGACTGCTCTCAGGGCCAGAGGGTGGATGGATGCTGGAGGAGCTTCTGCCAGCAGCACAGGCTGAGCTCCAGAGCATTACGGGCCAGCGAGACAGCAGAGCCAGGAGCCTTCCCAGGTGGACCTTCCTCCCGTCCACTGAGCCAGGGGACGTGCGCCGGAAGCTCGTCTTCAGGAAAGCCTCCCTAGCCACGGGGCTGGACCAAGAGCTTTCCAGGCCAAACCAGACATCCTCGGGCTCAGCATGATGGCTTCCTTCCACCTGGGCTGGGCTGTACTGGAAAAAACACCCCCGTGTTTCCCCCTCACTCGAACACTCACAATACTCCTGACACCGGATGTGTAGGTTTTCCTCTCCAAGCAGTTCTCAGTGACCAGCTGGGGATGCCATGATTCAGTTCCAGCACTAACCGGAGTTAGTCCAGACCCCGCAGGGGAAGGGCTCCGTCCCACAAGACTGCCCCCGCTTCAGACGCCAGTCCCAAGTCCCAGGTTGTCACCCGTTATAGCTGGTTAGTTCTCCGGACTAACTAGCTATAAATCGGGATTCCCATGCCCCTCCTCAGGTTCGACCATTTGCTACAACTGTTCAAAGAACTCAGGGAAACACTTACACTTACCAGTTTTTAGATGATAAAGGGTATGAGAAAGGAGACAGATGAACATCCAAATGGAAGAGATGTATAGGGCAGGATATGGGGGAAGGGGCAAGGAGCTTCCGCGCCTTCCGGGCACACCTGGCGCACAGCTGCCCCACGTGCTCGGTCACCCAGAAGCTCTCCAAACCCCGACTGTCGGGAATCTGATGGAGACTTCACCGCATAGGCATGATCGACCATTAACTCAAACTCCCTTCCTGGAGAATGGGGGTCGGGGAGCTGCAAATCCCAAGTGTCACAGCTTGGTCTTTCTGGTGACCAGCTCCCATCCTGAAGCCATCCACCAGGAGTCACCTCGTTAGAACAAAAGACACTCCTATCGCCCAGGAAATTCTGAGGGTTTTAGGAGCTCTGTGCCAGGAACCAGAGGCAGAGACCGACGTATATATTTTCTGTTATTTCACAGGAGCATCACGACCTACCCCGACAGATATCCAGACACCATTGACCCTGGAGATGCCCACATCCAGCCCTCTGTGTGACAGAAGAGGCTGCGGAGACTGTCCCCAAGCCCTCCAATCTTCCCACGGGACTTCAAGGAGCTTGCTGGTCCCAAGCTGAGGGGACCACTCCACCACTTAACACTCCTGTGCCTTGATTCCCTCATCTGTAAAGTGAGGCTCATAACAGCACTGTCCTCCTAGAGAATTATGGGAGAATTAAATGAGACTTCTTGTAATGCTTTGAACGGTGCCTGGTATAGTCTGCCCTCCAAGGTGCTACCCACTTCCATCTCTATGACTATCCTCATCATTAGTTCTCTAGTCCCCAAACTGGGATCTTCTCATCCCACGTCGCACTCTCCCATGCCCACCCTCCCTCTGGACCCTGAAGCAGGACCCATGTCACTGTGCTACCCTGTGGGGTTGCAGCCTCTAAATCAGTCCCCAGATTACCCCCACCCGCTGTTAGTCACGCCCTGGACGGTGGGCTGGTCTTAGGGACTCACTTCCAATGACTAGAATTCACCAGAAGTGACGGGATGTCCCTTCGAGTTTAGGTCATAAAAGGGCTGCAGCTTCCATCCACTCTCTCGGGTCACTCACCCTAGGGAAAGCCAGTTGCCACATCCTGGGCCAGCCTCGTGGGGAGGCCTGTGTAAGTGATGTCCCCCAAACCCCCATCAGGGCTCGAAATGACTGCAGCCCCAGCCAACACACTGAGTGATCCTTGGGAGGATTCCAGACCCACAGAAACTGGGATATAATGAATGTTTGTGAATAGATGTGGCCCTGAGTTTGGGGTACTTTGGTACACAGTAGTTATCTACAGATAAACACTATACCTCGGTGAATTCCTACTCATCTTTCAAGACCCAGGGGAAATGCCACCTCCTCCATGAAGCCTTTCACTTTGATTACAAAGCCAAAGTACTTCGTAATCACTCCACTGTCAGTTTCTACTTTAATGTCGGTTTACAGGACAAGCCTGCTCCCCTAGTGAGACTGTGAACCCCTGGAGGGTAGGGACAAGGCTTTAATCATACCTGAATTCTCTGTGCCCTGTCACTCAGCTGGTCCTCAGTCAGAGTTTATTTTTAAAAATAATGACTTAGACAGCAACCACCACCCAGCAGGCCTCCAGCTTCCACACTTAGCCTCTGGCTCAAGGGCTTCTTGGCATGCTCCGTCCAGGATCACATGGCTAGCCGGAGCTCGGGCCCAATTCTCTGTCCTCTCTCCCAGAGGATGCGACAAAGCTTCCCAGTGTCACACCAGGGCACACCTCACCCTCCAACCAAGCCAGCACACCACTGGGTGAGAGTGCCCAGGGCCAGGCTCAGAGGGTGGGAAGAAAGGAACTCCTTTCTTCTGCTTCGTGTCTCACTTCTGACCCAGTCACCTCCCAAAGATCCCGCCTGCCAACACAATCACCTTTCGGGGTTAGACTTCAACACATGAGGTTTGAGGGGGGGGTAGCATATGACATACACGTTCAGCCCATCCACCGCTCCAAGGCTGGGCAGGATCTGAGGCTCCACTCTAGGCTGCTGGACATCCTTTAGGCTTTTCACAGCACAGCTGTCATGAGTTGAATGGTGACCCCCAAAAAGACAGTTCATATTCCAGAACCTGTGATGCGACCTTATTTGGAAAAAGGGTCATTGCAGATGTAGTTTAAGGATCTCAAGGTGTGATTATCCTCAATTAGGGCAGGACCTAAATCCAATGACAAGAGTCCTTACAAGAGACAGAAGAGGAAACACTTAAGGAAGGCCGTGTGAAGACACAGGCAGAGATGGATGTGATGTGGCCACAAGCCAAGGAATGCCAGCTGCCACCAGAAGCTGGAAGAGGGGAGGGAGGCTCCGCCCCTTAGGGCCTCCAGAGGGAGCCCAGTCTGGCTGACACGTAGATTTTGGACATCTGGCCTCCAGAACTGTGAGAGAATAAACTTCTGTTTTTGTGGGTTTTTTTAAAGTTCATGGTAATTTGTGGCAGCAGCCCTAGGACATTAATAAAACAGCCTATGTAGAAAAGGATGCTATTCCTGCAGCTTGGGTTCAGAGGCACTGGGTCAGCAGTAACCCAGTGGTCCTGTGGTTTCGGGGACCATGTTGCTAGCGGGTTGTCTCACATTATTAATGGTTGGTTTTCCCTGTTTGCTTAAAGTGATGGTTTGGAGGAAATGGCAACCGGGCCACACACCCAACCCCAGTCAGAGGGGACAGCTTGATCACAGGCTCTGAGGCTCTGCAGAACTTGGCCAGCAGTGTGTGTGAACGGGTGATGCAGGTGCAGAGACTGTGGGCCCCCTGGGATCCCCGGGACGGAACTCCCCGACCAGGGCCTCCTCCAGCCACCCACAACCTCGGCCATTTCCTGGGGTGTACGAGACCTGCAAAGCTGGGAAGCTAGGAGGAACCTCTGCCCAGGCCGAGGGCGGGTTAGAGGCTGTCAAAGCTCTGGACAGAGGGTGGCCTGCAGAGATCTAGAGGCTAGGACCTGATGGGCAGGGGGCAGGTGGAGGGCAGAGACAGAAGGCAGGAAGACCAGGGTTGTTCCGGACAGTAAGCATGGTGAGCGCAAGGCTGAGAGCAAGAATGACCAGGAAAGGAACCTTCTGGATGTGGGAAGAAGGGAAGCACTCCCCAGCCTGGCACCTGGCAGAGACAGGGAAGCCAGCAGAAGGAACGGTCTCCACTAGCCTCACGTGGATGGATGATTTCCACATGCCATTGACTTTGCCCTCGTGTGTCAACAACTGGAGTGATCTTAGGAACCCCAACTTCCGAGAACTTGAAAACTTCTGAAATTGAGCACCTTGACATTGCTTCATTCAGCTTCCCACACGCTTTGAAGGGATGACTGGGGGTTTGCTTTGCCTTGTGTTTTGTGTTGTTTTGTTTTGTTTTTTTACAGTTGGCCTAGCATTGTTCTCTTCCATTTTAAGAGAAAAGGAACAGAAATGTCTTGATGTGACATGTTTCTGAATCTGGACTTGGTTTACCTCAGGGTAAGCCAAGGTGGTCCCCACACGGCAGCAATGTCACCAGGCTGCAATCAGTCCTGTGGAGAAGTGTCTCCAGCAGCTTTTGAGATGCAAAGCGAGCCTGGACGCTGGTGTCTTGTCAGAGCCTGCCAACCTCATGACAGCTGAGCAAATATTCTTACAGCTCCCCGGAGGCAAAGGTGCAGGCACAGCTCCAGGGATGCTGGGAACCCACCACCATGGGCTGTTAACTTACTGGTATCATTGTCATGACTTCCCGGTTTTGGAATGATCACCATCTCCGGTCTCCAGGCTTTGGATGTGTTTATTCTCGTTGACTCTGCTCTTTGGTGCTCTCCCACTCATGCTGTTGCATTTGGTCATCATGGCCTTCCTCTAAGGTAAGTGTCATGGCAGTGCTGTCATCCTCATCGCCCTCACTCTGCAGACCTGGGAGCCTGAGGCTGGGGGAGGCTGTAACCTTCACCAGGACACACAGCAGGAGGTGCGGAGCCGGGACATGAATGCATTTTGGCCAGGTGCCAGCTCTGACTGGACGCACCAGATTTCAAGCCCAGGGGGGAAGTCGGTAGGTCGTGAAGCCCCCGGATGACCGTCATTCGTGTCCTGACGTGTGAGTTTCCTCTGGCTGAGTAGGTGCTGTGTATCCAGCAGAGAAGAGTCCCTGACAGATGGTGGAACTCACCTGCACAGAAACGCAGGGTCAGGTTTGTCGGTCTGTCTGGCTTTTTTCTATCAGTAGTGAGTGACACTTGGAGAAAAGTTGGAATTCTGTCAACTTAAACTAACAGTGATTGTTCCAGGATGATAGAGTTTGGGATGACGTTTTGTTTTCTTTCTTGTGTTTTCTATATGATTTGAGCTCTTTAAAATTAGAATGTGTCCTTTACAAAAGCAACAACATCTTTTTTTTCAATCACTTGGCACAGTTTTGAAAAATAGTTTTCCCGAGCCCCAGTCAGTGTGATTCTGATTCTTTGGGCCTGGGGTTGGGCCAGAGCCAGGACCCAGTTAACTCATGTGGGCCGCCCACCTGGGGAACCCCTGGTGTTTCCCAAAACCTCCCTGCTGAAAGTCGCCTGGGTGCACAGACAAAGCCCCCAGGCCTCACCCCATCACCCTGGCGAGGCTCATCATCTGGGCAGGCTGGTCTAGACTCAGAATTCATCTCCCCCCGAGACTTTGGGGAGCCAGCGTCCAGCTCAGCATCCTGGAGGATGACGCAGCCGGGAGTCACCCACCAGATTCAGACCAAACCTGAGCTGGAAATAAGGATTGGGTCAGCCCGGTGGCAGCTGCGGCCAGCAGAAGGCCTGCCATCCATCCCTCCTGGAAACTCGACTTCCTGCTCCCTCGCCTGTGAGGGTTTGTCCCAACCGCATCGTCTCAGGGGCCCTCTGGGGACATTTTCTCTGAAGAACAAATGATATGGGGACACATGTATACGTATAGCTGATTCACTTTGTTATACAGCAGAAACTAACACAGCACTGTAAAGCAATTATACTCCAGTAAAGATGTTAAAAAATAATCGTAATAAAAAATTTTCAAAATAATAAAATAAAATAAGAACAAATGAGAAGACTTAGGAGACATTAGGACAGAAGGGGCTCAACCAGGGAAAAGGTGCTGGGATCCTTTTTACAGTTAACCTTCTCCACGTAATCCACAGTCACCAGACACTGACTGAGACTACACTGTCACGATTCAAACGACATAGATGAGGCGCGTGGCCAGCCGAGCTTCCCAGCACAAGAGCCAAGGCCAAGGTCGCTTCAGGCTGGGAAAATAAAACATGCAGGCCACAGCTCCCCTTAAAGAAGCCAAAGATGGTGAGGTGGTGGGGTGTCTGGGTCCCCTGCCGTGGGAATGGGGGCTGCAGTTTCAGTGGAAGAAGCTGAAGTGAGGAAACCACTGTCAGTCAGGCCCTGATTCCTCACCTGGCCCGGCTGCTGGAGACTGGTTTACCCCAGAACTGCAGACACTGGTCAAAGCGGATGGCGGGGATGGCTAAAGAGCTATCCTGAAACGGCAGTGGCCACAACTCAACAGTGGAAACAAAACCCTCGCTTCTGAAGTGGAGGATTGATGATAGCTGTGGACTGAACTGTGCTCCCCTAAATCCGGGTGTTGAAGCCCTAACTCCCAATATGGGATGGCAGTTGGAATGGGGCCTCTGGGAGGTAATCAGGTTCAGATGAGGTCATGAGGGTGGGCCCCCCATGGTGGGATTGGTGTCCTTATAAGAAGAGACACCAGGGATCTCCCTGTTCCTTGTGAGGAGAGAGTGAGAAGGTGGGGCTGTCTGAAACCTGGGGAGAGGACCCTCACCAACATCCCAACCCCACTGGCACCCTGATCTTGGATTTCCAGCCATTAGAATGATAAGAAATGTCTATTGTTTAAGCCCCCTAATCTGCGTTACTTTGTTATGGCGGCCAGAGCTAAGGCAAAGGTGACCAGAGAACAATTATTGGGATGTTTGACACTTTTCTTTTTAATAAGCACTGCTGGGACTTCCCTGGCGGTCCAGTGGTTAAGACTCCACGCTTCCACTGTGGGGGGCACGGGTTCCGTTGGGGAACTAACATCTCGCCTGCTGGGCAGGGCAGCAAATAAATAAATAATAAATAAATAATAAATAAATTTTAAAAATAAAAAGCACTGCTGTTCAGGAACCACATCAGGTAGAAAATCATCAGTGACTGAACACCCCTCCCCACTCCTGAGAGAACTTTCCAGAACCTCCATCTGTGCTGTGGGAGGCACCCCTTCTTCGTGTGTGAACACCCACAGGTGTCTCTCCCACAAAGCCCGTCATAACCGGAGAATGTGAAGGGAAGGGGTAAGGATGGTTAGGGTGGGTGAGTTAATACGATATTTCATCCTTGGCATCCCCACCTGATTTCTCAGTAAAACCCAGACAGTTTTTAGGGTTTTATGAACTCCTGGGGGCTTCTCAGAACATGAGCCCGTGGAAGGGTGTAGGGGACACTTACATTCAGCCAGAGCCTCTTCATTACCTGACTCCCTCTCCTAACTGCCTGGGCCTGTCCCACACCCCCAACAACGTGCCCCCTTCACCCCAGTAAACGGCTCCTCACGAGCCTCTGAAAGTCTTTCTGGGTTTGTTTTGCTACCGAGCCTCCCCGTCGGCACTGAGGCCTCTAGCTGGGTGACCCCGGAGCCCCTGGGTTCCAGCCAGGGCACAGGCCTGGGGTGCAGGACTTAGGGGCACCAGACACTTTGTAATCGAGAAAAGTATTTTAATGCAATACGCTAAAAAATCCAAATGAATGCCAAAAAATGATGAACAAAGTACCGAAAGTTTAAATAAAGCCAGGATCCTCCAGGTGCAACAAAAGGACATAAATGGTCCACATCCCAGGCCTGGTGAGTGGGCTCAGGGTCGAGCCTCAGAGCCAGGCTCCGGGCCCAGCCATCCAATCAGTCCTTCTTCCCACGGAGCTCCTTCCCAGGAACCAGAGGCTCAGCACCGCTGCAGGCCACAGCAGCAGCCCCTTGAAGCGACCTGAAATGTCGGCCCCGGGAGCATTCCAGGGAGCCCTGCTCCTAGCGCTTAAAACATACGGTGCCGAGACACTGTGTTGTTGGTTTCTGGTTTCCAGTCCCTTAGCAACTGATACTCTGCACAATACAATAAAAAATAAATTTCTAGAAAAATGACAAACAAAATGTAAGCCAACTTTTTAATTATATTTTATCATATATTATATTATTGCGTTCAGCGGATAATTACTCGTTCAAATGCCTGTCATGTTCCTAAACGCCTGCTCTCAATCTCTCAGCTTACCTGGTCTAGCAGCCCATGACCCAGCTGGTCCTCGGGCCACGTACTGACGACCACAGATCTGGTTCGGGCCCTGCCTGGCCCAGCTTCCCTTCCAGAAAGCAGGGGGTTCGAGGTTGGTGGGGCGGGAGGGGGGCGTGTCCTGGGGCTCCGTGGGGGCCGAACGTGTTCCCATCTCTATTCACATGCAAGTCAGAAATCACTGGGTTTTCGTCCCTCGAAAGGCCCACGGGTTTCAGTAGTTGTGGCACGTGGACTCAGTAGTAGTGGCTCGCGGGCTCTAGAGCACAGGCTCAGTAGTTGTGGCGCACGGGCTTAGTCGCTCCGCGGCATGTGGGGTCTTCCCGGACCAGGGCTCAAACCCGTGTCCCCTGCATTGGCAGGTGGATTCTTAACCACTGCGTCACCAGGGAAGGCCTCGGCCCATTTTAAAGATTAGGAAACTGAGGTCCACAGAGATCAGCAATGGGTGACGCAGAGGTAAAAATCAGAGCCAAGATTGAGTTCCAGTTCTTTAAAGGCCTAGAAAATTATTCTCTGCTTTGGAATTGTGTTGTCCACGGCAGACAAAGCACGTTGGCTTTCTCAGAGACCACCTTCTCCTGGGAAGCATCTCCTTTCAGTTAAAATTGAAATATGAACGCCTACACAAGCTCTCACATGGCCCAGGTAGAGGGGAGGTCGGTGTTCTGAGAAGCGCCCCTGAGAATCCACAGCAGAGCAGACACCAGCCACGTGTCCTTCATTTGACTGGGCTCTTCCAAGAGGCTCCTCCTGTTGGCACCATGGAGGGCTTGGGACAGCCTGCCTGCTCCCTCCCCACCGGGACCAGCTCCAATGTCCCCTGTGTTTTCTCTGCTGATGAACCAACGGGAGGCCCTGCTCCACCCCCACCCCATTCGGGGCTAAACAGAAAGACAAGAGGGAATGAGCAAACGTCACCTCTGAGAGCAGGTGCCGACCTGAGGCCCTGGGGACTCTTGGGGGATGTCTACCCAGACCTGAAGAGGGAGGGGCAGTGCCTGGCACGTGGTAGACAAAAACGTGTTATTGATGAGAAAAATGCCAGACAGTGGGAAAGAAAGCCATTCTCAGGTTCCACGTGAGGTGAGTGCCAAGAAGTCTGAAGGAGTGATTCTGAGAGCTGCAAACAAGATTAATTCGTAAGATAATTCCTAAAACAGAACTGTGCCTTCCAGGACCACAAGGACTTCATGGTGAACTCAGAGACGACCGGGACTCGGAGAGACCTGGATGACCACCTGACCGCCTTCCCCGTCCCCAACTTTTGTGGAGAGGCTGTTAGGAGCCTCTGATCACTCCACAGGTGGGTCCACACTTCCAGATGAGGACGGGAAGGGCTGGCTAAGCCGCAGCTTTGGGTGGGAGAGTGCAGCCGAGATGGGGCTGCTTAAATGCTCCTGCAGAGGAAGGAAAGCAACGGCGCGAATGAACTAAGACTGTCCCAGAAGATAGCAGAGGTATGCTTCAAGTGCACACCCAGCCTATTATAACCTGCTGATACCAGGTGCAGAGGCTACAGTGATAGTTTAAAAAATAATAATTTCCCAGACTGATCACCGTATTCGCAAAACCCAGCCAGCTGTCCGGGGCACTGTTCCACTGGAGGAAGGAAAAGTCCTACAGGATGTAGGACAATTTTACCCCCCAAGAAACACGCAGGAAATGAAAGAGTCTGAACATTGGCTCTGGCCAAGGTGGGACGGGACTCCAGGGCCCTGCAAATGAGAGCATGGCCTCAGGGGCAGAAGACCTGGAGCTGACGTGGGCTGCCAGGCACTAAGCCTCCATTTCTTCACCTACAGGACTGGGGCAACAGTGCTGCCTTAAACATCGCTTGACTGTGAAGATTAAATTAGATGAGGCATATAAAAGTGTGCTTTGCAAATTGTAAAGTACCTACGAATAAATATATAAGACCTTTAAAATAAGAAATGTATCTCTACCGACTCTTAAGGCAGCAACTCTCTCAGAGACAACAATGAAAACAAACAAAATGCAACACGCCAGAAGCCCGGCAAAAACCCAGACTTTATGTCCTACCAGAATCCAAGGACCTGAATTTAGTTCGCAGTCTCAGCTTGCCATCTGCATGACCTTGGGCAAGTCATTTTCCTCATTTATAAAACAAGGAAGAAGGAACTGGAAAACCTCCAGGGTCCCTTCTAAGCCAAAAGTTTTATGAATCTGTACTCTGTGCTACCTGCATAAGCTTCTGGGGAAAATGCGTCAAGTAGTATTTCCTATGAAATCACCACGAGCTAAGTAACATTGCTTTACACACTTGCTTTGCAATTTCTTTTCTCCTTCTATCCCATATCTATCTGCTGGAGTATTGTCTATCATACACCTAGAGTAGCAAAACGATATAATTAATAAGGTTAAATTAATAGATAGATGCTGACTTTTGTGCCTCACAAGGAGAGAATATACCTTTTTCTCACACGTATATTGATGGAGCATTTGCAAAAACTTATACTTACTTGTCCAAAAAGATAACTCCTCTAAATTACAAACAGCAGAAATTGTACGAGCCATTCTCCAAACCACAAAATCCAACAAAAGCTAGACTGGAATGCTGGAAGCCTGAAAACCAAAAGTAGGTAGATAGATAGATAGACAGCCCATCTGAAAACTAAAATAGTCTTCCTTTTGGGTTCAGAAAATGAATTATAAATACAACAGAAAATTAGAACATGACTTGTCAAAACTTATACCATCAAAGCTGTGTTTGGAGGTAAATTCATAATATAAAGATGCCTTCATTATTAAAATAAAACAACACAGTTTCCACTTCTGGGATGACAGAGAGTAACTCCACGGAACCAGCAAAGCTGACAAAAACTATTAAAAAAAAAAAAAAAAAGAACAACCATTTAAAGTCTCTGGGAACTGTCCTAAGGGCATATGACAAACAAAGAAACATCTACTCAACAAAATCTACTAAAACTCAGTAAGAACAGCAAGAGTCTGTGGCATTTCAGCCACAAGCTTCTCTCTCCCTCCACGTGGGTGTGGCCAAGAAGTCGGGGCTCCCCCACCCTTCAAATCCTAATAAAGGCTTACATGTCTCACCAGGAAGGACAGGCCACCAGCATTTCTCATTCCCCCCAACTCCAAGTCGAGAAGGCTAAATTCCTGGTGAGTGTGACTGAGAGGTCGGGACAGCCTTCCTCCCGGCCACTCTCACGGGACAGAGGCTCTACCCCAGGCCGGGCAGGCCCAGAGGACTGGGCCCCCAACGGCCGGACCCCAGCTTGCTCACGGGGCACAGTTTCCAAGAAGAGGCAAGCTGAGGAGGCCAGGGGCACCCAGAACTAGAGCTCAGAGGGTTTGCACAGGGGAGATTCAATCCATGAGAAAAGGAAGCTCTCTGAAGTGCTCCCAAAGGAAATGACTTTATTTGAAACAGAATGCGAGGAAGTTCATGCCTAAGGGCACTCTTGAAAACAACAGCCTCTCTTAATTAAGAACAATAAGCCAAACCCAAGGTAGATAGTTCACCAGAGAGAACCGGGAAAGAGACAGCCAGGAGCCCATGCTACTCTCTCACCTCGTCCCAGCTTCCCCTTCCCCACCCTCCCTTTCTTCAAGTCCATTCTCTACATCTGCGTCTTTATTCCTGTCCTGCCCCTAGGTTCATCAGAACCTGTGTGTGTGTGTGTGTGTGTGTGTGTGTGTGTGTGTGTGTGTGTGTGTGTGTGAGCATACGGTATTTGTTTTTCTCTTTCTAACTTACTTCACTCTGTATGACAGACGCTAGGTCCATCCACCTCACTACAAATAACTCAGTTTCGTTTCTTTTTACGGCTGAGTAATATTCCATTGTGTATATGTAAGGCTCTAAAATTGATTGTGGTGGTGGATGCACAATTTGGGGAATATACTAAAAACCATTGAGCTGTGCACTTTATTTTTTTATTTTTAAAAACATTTTATTGGCCTATAGTCGACTTACGATGTTGTGTTCATTTCAGATTGCAGCAAAGTGATTCAATTATACATATACATATATTCGTTCTTTTTCAGATTCTTTTCCCATTTAGGCTAATACAGAATACTGAGTAGAGTTCCCTGTGTTAGAGCTGTGCACTTTAAATGGATGAACTGTATGATAGGTGAATTGCATCTCAACAAAATTGTTAATAAAAAAGGAATACAAAAAGTGAATGACCTCCATATTCATCGCAGTATTATTTCAAAGAATCCAGTCTTAAGAAAGAAAATAATGCAATAAAAACAAAACTAAATGACTTGGACAATTGAAAAGATGATGGAATTAATTTTAAAAATTAATTTTTGGACATCTTGCCACTCCTTTTTCTCTTTAAAACAGTCCGGATTTCTACGAAATGGTTTCAAGTGCTCCCTGAAAAACCCTCATTTCTAAAGACCTTCTCTTATTTGACTCTGACTTTGAATGGAAAAGAATTTCCACCGGATGCTCCCAGGAGAGCAACTGTTCCCTCAGAGACCTGCTGTATCTTCTTCCTCTGAGTAATTCCCTATCAAGTGCCCCACAGGTAGGGCTGCCCATCCTGCGTTTTGCAGTTCCACCATCAATATGGGCCACATCCAGATGTGATACAAGTGCAGCTTCCCAGACAGCCTGGGAGAAGCCAGTACTCAGCTCCAAAGGCTTCTGCTCGGATCCCAGCCCTGGGAAAGAACTTCAATTTCCCAAAGATCCTTTGGACTAGGTCACCACCCATCACAGTGTGATCAGAGGGATGTGAAACTACCTGCCTGAAGAAGAAATTCTCTCATTCAGGAACCTCAGGTCCATTAGATTCTGTCACTTACTAGGCAGGTCATTTGGCCTCTCTGACCCTCAGTCTCCTCATCTGTGCAATGGGTGTACTATTGTAAGGATTAAGTAAAATATTGTATGTGAGAGTGCTTGGGACCTACTTCCTTTCTCCCTCAACTGTGGGCCAGGGGCTCACACCACTCTCCTGTCCTTTCCTTCGGCTGCCTTTGCTCCTGTTGGGGAGGAAGAAATTTTTCTCTACCCTTCTAGGTTCTTCTGGCAGGTCTAAGACATAAATTGACATGAGAAAGATTAATAGGAGAAAATCAAACAAAAGTTTAATGACGTATATACATGGGAGAGACCCAGGAAAACTGAATAACTCACCAAAATGGCCAAAGTCCTCACTTTAAATGTCACCTTCAGCTAAAGACAGCAGAGGATGTTGGGAGTAGTGGCTTGGGACTTCGAAGGGGAGAAAGGCAATTCACCTGGAGATGGAAAAGCACGTGTTTAGTAAATAAATGTTTGCTGGGGCCCTGCAGAGACAATGGGACACAGAGTAGACTCTGATCTCTAAGTGTTCCCCTACCACACCTAGCTTGTATTCTCTGCAGACGTCTGGTGATAGCTCTATTCCTGTAATAGGCCCTCTATCTAAATTTTTCAGGCGATTAGGGGGGTAGTTCAAAATTTCTTCCTGATTCTTTTGGGCCTTGATAATTTTCAGCGTGAAATAATCTACATGCCAGAGACATTTTGGGGTGACAAATTTTGTTTCCTACACTCCAGACTCGATCCCATGCTTAGAGGTGGCCTGGGTTCCAAGGAACCCCAGGGTCTCCAGTTAAAGGCTGCTTAGTCTGACAAACTTAAATTCAACCAAAGGTGAGCGACCCAGGAAGTAACAACCACACCCAATGAAATGGTTGGGGACCATCGGGCCCCGGCCCCTTCTGTCTGCTGTCTGGGTTATGGAACCGAACTTAGCGGCCACAGCAGGGCTGGTGAGAGGTGACGGATGCCAGGCGCTGGATACCCTTGACTAAATCCGATACCCACTGGTGTTTATAAACGCAGCTTCTGGAGCTCTTCTCTGAGAGCCAAAACTCTTGGTCGGGTTGGAGGAAAATAATCCAATGTCCAACCCAAGACACAGCAACAGTGCCATCGTCACTCCCCCACATGAACCTGCTTCACCCAGCAGGGCACTGGCACAGCGGACCGTTTAGCTGCTGCCGCCGGTTCTCTCTGGATGAGCAACAGAGCACAGAGATCTTCCGAGAGCCCACCCAGAAATGTTGCCCGGGCAAAGCCCCTGCTGCCTGGGGAGAATGTGGGGAGGACTTGGGAGTCAAGGTGAAATCTTAGAGCAGGGGGACACGCAGGCCACATCTCCTGCTGCTGATGGCAGGTGGACATGGTGCCCTCAGACCAGGCCACCGGACAAGGTCTAGGACAGCCGCCCTCCCGGGGAGGTCCGGGCCCCCTTAGAGGTGCAGCCGTCCTGCAGCTAGCCTGATTCTTCTCTCTACACAGCTGTGAAAGGACAGTTTTTCAGGCCCACAGCAAAGCCTGGCACCTCTGCAGCGCCAGGGGCAGAGAAGGGGACTCTGATGCAAGAGTATTGCTGGGGAGGCTGAGGTCTCAGCAGGATGGGAGATCTTCAGCCTTCTGAGGCCTCTGATGCTCTGCTCTGCGGCCTGGTCACTGGGGGCTCTTCCCTCCTCTGACTCTGTCATGGATTGAGTCATGTCCCCCCAAAAGATATGGTGAAGTCCCAACCCTTGGGACCTGTGGAGGTGACCTTATTCGGAAATAGGGTCTTTGCAGATGGTTCTAGTGAAGTTAAGATGAGCACCGGGGTAGGCCCTTCATCCAATATGATTGGTGTCCTTATAAGAGGATCAGATTGAACACAGAGACACACAGGGAGAATGCCACGTGACGATGGAGATTGAAGCTGCAGGGAGAAGGCAAGGAAGGATCCTACCCAGAGTCTCGAGGGAGCACAGCCCCGCTGAATCCTAGCCTCTAGGACTCAACACAACCCTCTCACTGGGCTCCAGCACGAACCGCCAAGTCAAGAGACTTCTAGTTATTTCTACTTTTTCAACAGCGGGAAGAAAACAACTTGGATCTGAAAAGCAGAGGGAGAATTAAGAAACTAAGAGACTGGATTGCTGTTGTCCTAAGCCACCCAGCACACAGGGCTTTGCTGCAGCGAACACGGGCCCCAAATTCTGAAGCCTAATCCCACCCACCACTTCTATCCACCTCCCACGGGGACACAGAGACGGTGGGGGGGTCTGAGAATCCGCGCTGGAGAAGGAAGTCAGCTGGGGGTGAGGGAGGTGGTCCAGGGGTGCGCAGGACAGGAGAGGGTGGGCACGACGGAGAAAGACAAGGGGGTGCTGTCTCCGGGCAGAGCGGGGCCCCAGAGAGTGGAATCAGGTAAACAGAGGAAGCCTCAGATCCTTTCCAGCTGTGGACTCCAAAATGGCTGGGCCTAGGATCGAATCGTCTCCCCTCTGCTTTTTTGAAACCCTGGAGTTCCTGCCAACAGAACAAAAAGAAAACCCCAAACACACCTATTTCCTATCTCAACATATATTTGATAACCCCAGTGTCCTGCCTTTCCCCAGACTATAAATGACTGCCTCCCCCCAACCCCCAGCCAAGCTCACTCCGGGTTCAACACAACTCTCTCACTGCATCCAGCCTGAATCTCCAAGCCAGGAGAATTCCAGTTACTTCTACTTTTCCAGCAATGGGAGGGGAAAAAACAACTTGGATCTGAAGAGCAGAGGGAGAATTAAGAAAGCGCCTCAGCTCCAGGCATTTTTTTTTTAACCGCTAACTGGGCAATGAATAATTTATAGCCAAGAATGTTTGTAGGGGGATAAAACTGTTGACAAGTCAAGAAAGCCTCTTAGCAGCCTAACGGAGCAATCCATCTTCAAGAAGCACGTTTCAAATGCATAGTGTGTGAAGATGCTGGTTGAGGTTGTTTCCTTTCTCCTCTTTTTTTTTTTTCCTTTTTTTATCTATATGGAAATCGGTGGGTGCTGAAATATATTTCACTTCAGCATGAACTGGGGCTGAATGATATCTCAGGCAAGAATTAAATCATCGCTTCATACTGCAAGAAATAAACACCAAGCCAGGCAGAGATCCTCGGCGCCCGCAGGGGAGGAGAGCAGGGACTTCTGGGGAGCTGAACAGAGGCATTGGTATTCCATGCAGGACAGCATGCAAAGCCCAGGCTCAGACTCACCGGAGCAAGGGGGTGATGGATCCCGGAGTATGTTCCTCGGGGAGGGCCCCAAGCAAAGTGGTGGTGATTACACAGCTGAGACCGCCTCGTCTTTGAAGAGCCGGCATCCTCCCCAAGTCCTCCTCGATCTGGGCATCAGGAGGGCACTGTGAGGGCTTTGTGACATCAGTGGTTGGACCGAAGACAGTATGCCAAGAATCCTGACAGCTACAGGGTCAGTCTTGTATCAAGCACCTACCATGTTCCAGGGCCAAGCTCCCTTCTGGAGATCCTGTTGCTCAGTCCTCATGTTGGCTCTCTGGTTGGTGCTAACTGGGCAGTTGCATCCCTGCATGCCCCCCCTCTGCTCCAGCAGGGCAACTTGGGAGCCAGAGCTCCTGGAGGACTTGTAACATTGCTAAACGTCACACAGGTACAGGAGGATAGAACCTGGCCTTGAACTTATGTCTCACCCACATACTTATTCATCTCCTATGGTCTTATGGAGGCTGACTTGGTTTTCCAGAAATCGGCAGGTATTAGGATGCCCCCCCATATTCTCAGCCCCTCAATGCTCCCCCTACCTGCTTTGGGCCCCTGACTGACCAAGGTTCGAGTGGTTCAGTAGGTTGAGACCCAAGTCTAGACCACAGCCAAGCAGCTCCCCTGGGGACAGGACAGGTGAGGTTGGCACCATTCCTCGTAACTGTATTAATAATCTATTGCTGTGTAACAAATGACCCCACGCTCAGCAGCTCTAAAACAACAAGCATTTTCTACCTCATTGTTTCTGTGCACTTGGATCCCAGGGGCAGCTTGTCTGAGTCCTCTTGTTCAGGGCCTCTCACAGGGCTGGAACCGAGGCGTCTGCTGGGGCTGCAGTCATTTCAAGGTTCAACTCTCAGCTCACCGACATGGCTGCTGCCAAGGTTCCATTTATCACAAGGTGTTGGATTCGTGGCCTCGGTTCCTCACTGGCTGTTGGCTGGAGACATCTCTCGGTTCTTGGCTATGTGGACCCCTCCAGAGGACAGCTCACAACATGGCAGCTGGCTTCCCTCAGAACCAGCAAGAGAGCAAGTGTCACCCATAATGGAAGCCAGAGACTTTTGTAACGTAATCTCCAAGTGACACCCCATCAGATGTGCCTTATTCTTTCATTAGAAGCAAGTCACCATGTCCAGTCCACACTAAAGCAGAGGGCATTACATGACGGCACGAATGACCGGGAGGCTGGGATCGTTGGCAGCCGTCTTGGAAGCTGCCTACCACAATAACCAGCTGTATTTGTTATCTAGTGCCGCATAACAAATTAGCCCGAAGCTTCATGGGTTAAAACAGCAGTAATTATTTGTCACCTCTCACAGGCTCTGTGGTCAGGAATTCAGAAGCAGCTTGGCTGGACAGTCCTGTCCAGAGGTCTCTCATAGGACTGCAGGCAGATGTCAGCCAAGGCTACAGTCTTCTAAAGGCATGGCTGGGGCTGGAAGGTCCACTTGCAAGCAGCCCACTCACATGGCTGGCAAGTTGACGCTGCCTGCTGCTGGTGGGAGTCCTCAGTTCCTTAGCACATGGGCCTCCCCACAGGGCTGCCTGAACGTCCTCACAGCATGGTGGCTGCCTTCCCAGGGCCTGCAATCCAAGAGATCAAGGCAGAAGCTACAGTGCTTTTATGACCCAGCCTCAGTGTTCAGTCACACACAATCACTTCAGCAGTGTTCTAGTAGTCACACAGGTCAGCCCTGTTCAGAGACAAAGTGGGCCACGCAAAGGCTTGACTATCTGGAGACGAGGATCACTGGAGGCCATCTCATAAGTCAACTACATCAACAGGGCAAGCCCACCACAGGGTGGAATCATAGTGCTGCAGCCAGGCAAAGCCCAGGCATATCATACTCTCTGTAGTTTTCCTGAATGTGACTGGCTCTCTTGGGCCCACGTCTTTGTGATCTTCCCTCTACTTGTCATTCTTTCTCCCACAGCGAGCTCCTACTTAACCTACAAAGCCCAATTCAAATGTTACCTCCTCCATGAAGTCTTCTCTATTCTTCACACTACTCCCCTGACCTACCCCACCCACAGCATGGCTGTCTCCCTCTCTGTGGGTCCCTATGCAGCTTTTTAAATGCCTTTATTGTCAGCCCATATCTCAGCATCTGTCTGCTTACCCCATGTGCCTGGGATTCCAGGGACCACATACCTTCACCTGTGGATCCTGAGCAACTGGCCAGCCCACCCACAGTGGGCACTCAGTCACTGTAAGATGGAGCCAATTAAATGACCTGCCACAGCTGCAGCTGGTCAGCTCCAGAGCTGCGCTGAGGCCAGAGGCAGGTCTCCTGCCTCCTTGGCCCTTTCCCACAGATAGTGGTGGGGCGCTTTAAACACATGTCCTGGGGTGAGCACCTCCCTGGAGCCCTCCCTCAGGCCCCGCCCTCCCCCAGGGCCCCTGGTGGGGACCACCCTGGGCTGCCATCCCAGCTCCAGGAAGTGGACACTCCACCCTATTGGCTCTTCATCCAGAGCCAGTACACGCCACCTGATCCCCACCTGCCTCGCTCCCTCCTGCAGGGTCCATGGTAAACCTTGCCCCCAATGCTCCACCAAAGCTTAGCACAGGCTCTGACCCAGTGGAAGGTCCTCACGGGGTGGGGGCAGAGGGCAGGCGAGGAGTCCAAGACGGGGCTGAATGTGATCGATGAGCAAGTTTCAAACCAGAGGACTTCCTGCTGCCCTGTGGGAAGAACTGCCTTCCTGCTTCCGGGAGGATTCGACCTATTAAATGCACACATGCTCAGAGAGGTGCGCTGCACCTAGAGACGCGTTGGTCACCTGAGCAGCTTTGCAACCAGGCCAGGACACCTGATGGAGAGGAAGACTTTCAGCTCAACAACGCAGCACGGTTAGCCTGGAGGACCCATCCACGTGGGCTCGTCTGGAGGGCGCTCCCCCCAAAGAACAAGGGTGTCCCGGCCTGGGACACAGAGTAGCCCAAGGGGGAGGCAAGACAGAGCCAGAAGGGTGCGGAGAAAAGGGAATACTCTTGCACTGCTGGTGGGAATGTGAATTGGTACAACCACTATGGAGAACAGTATGGAGGTTCCTTAAAAAACTACAAATAGAACTACCATATGACCCAGCCATCCCACTACTGGGCATATACCCTGAGAAAACCATAATTCAAAAAGAGTCATGTACCAGAATGTTCATTGCAGCTCTATTTACAATAGCCAGGACATGGAAGCAACCTAAATGTCCATCAACGATGAATGGATAAAGAAGATGTGGCACATATATACAATGGAATATTACTCAGCCATAAAAAGAAACGAAATTGAGTTATTTGTAGTGAGGTGGATGGACCTAGAGTCTGTCATACAGGGTGAAGTAAGTCAGAAAGAGAAAGACAAATACCGTATGCTAACACATATATATGGAATCTAAGAAAAAAAAAATGTCATGAAGAACCCAGAGGTAAGACGGGAATAAAGACACAGACCTACTAGAGAATGGACTTGAGGATATGGGGAGGGGGAAGGGTAAGCTGGGACGAAGTGAGAGAGTGGCATGGACATATAGACACTACCAAATGTAAGGTAGATAGCTAGTGGGAAGCAGCCGCATAGCACAGGGAGATCAGCTCGGTGCTTTGTGACCACCTAGAGGGGTGGGATAGGGAGGGTGGGAGGGAGGGAGACGTGAGGGGGAAGGGATATGGGAACATATGTGTGTGTGTGACTGATTCACTTTGTTATGAAGCAGGAACTAACACACCATTGTAAAGCAATTATACTCCAATAAATATGTAAAAAAAAAAAAAAAAAAAAAGACAGAGCCAGAACAGGGTGGGGGAGGAGCTGGGGGGCAGAAAGGAAAAGAGGGCTGGGGCTGGACCAAAAGGACCCCCAAAGGCAGCCCCCTCTAGAGTCAGCAAGCAACCCTTGGGCTCAAGTGTTTTTCCATCACTGGCCCCTTCACGGAGTCTTTCTGCCTGTGCTCCAGCTCTCCACAGGACACCTGGCAGGGTGATGTGATTTGGGGCCCCCAGAGGTTTGGGATTCTGTAGATCTGGGGGAATGGCATTTTGTTTTAATATCTCACTACTCACTTGGATATAAACCAGGTTTAAAAGGCCCTACTCTGAAGGCAAAACCACTAACCCCAATTTTCTGATACAATCCCCATTTCACAGAACTTAGCAATGAAGGTAATTTATACAAAAATGGAAATCATCCTGTTTTTCTACCTATTAAGTCCTTGATGCAAATTAATTTACATATTTAAAAATCTGTTGACGAATCTGGTGATCCAGTTTGAGGTCTTGCAACGTTCTGCCACTCTATGCCAAGGGTTTCTTGGTTGTTTAAAAAGAAGATGGGGAAGGTCAGCTTGAGAAGGATTTCCAGAATGAACCCTTATAACGGCTTCTTCCAAAATGTATTTACACTGATCCCACTCACTCATTTCCTCTCATTCTACTTCATGTATAATGGCTTCAGAGTCTACAGAACAAGCTAGAGAATTAGGCCTGAATATTTGATCTCCCTGGACTGAAGGGCCATGTCTGGAGTCCATGCTGGTCTTGGTCATGTTTCCAGATCTGTTACAGTCCCCTCTCCTAGACCAGCCTCTGTGTGACAGCAATGGTGGGTCTAGGCTTCCTTACAGTTATGCATCTCTCGTTTGGACCAGTGCCTGGCACACAGGAGGTGCCCAAGAGTATGTCCCCTCGTGACCTCTGTCAGGGCTCCCTGGATGCCAGCTGCCCATCTACCGTGTGACAGGGCAATGCCTCACCCCTGACAACACGTGAAGCCCTCAGAGGAAGGGGCCAGTCACAGCCCTCCCCAGACGGTGAGCCCTGGGAGCTGGCTTGTGTCCCCTCTGTGCAGCACCCCCTGCCCCTGAGGCCCACCTCAGAGGGCTTCAGAGGTGGCTCAGAGCACAAACACCCCACACCATCATTCCCTCCAAATCCCCAGGTGACAGATACCGCCCAGATAGCAAACATTGTGCAGCCAAAGACGTCATGACCAGCTACGTATCATTTCTCAAGGTGGCCCCTGGGAGAAGCGCTCCATCCCTACCAAGGGCCTCTGGACCACAGGCCTCCCCCATGGGTCGGGGGCCATCAGATTCTGCAGGGGGCTCATCTTCACGGTCATGGCCTAGGGCTGTCCTTGAAAGGTCCAGAAAGGAAAGGGCAACCTTGGCAAAAGGGAAAAGCAGGGCAGATCCTCACTGAAGGCATGTCCTTGACCCTCATCTGAGCTTCATCCAAGCAGCCGACCTCACCGCACAGTCCAAGAGAAACCAGGACCTCAGTCGGTCCTGCTGGCCTTGCAGACATTGACCGCGGACCACCCAGACACACACCTCCGTCCCATCCCAGGAGGGGCCCAGCCTGTCTGCCTGCCTGTGTCTGTGCCGGAAGTCTCCAGCCCCCTCCAACTGGACCTTTGCTTCTTAAGATACACTCCGTGTAAGAAGCTTCTACTTTACTGAAGGACACTTGCCATGGTCAGGGGTGCCAGTCACAGAGCGCGCGTGGCACAGACCCGAGGATGGGCGCCGCCGTCTTACCTCCAGCAGCCGCCGGGGGCGCACATCTCCCCAACCCCCCAGAGCCTCCCCCGTTTAACGTTCTCCCGGGAGCTCATCAAACGAAAACCCTGGTTCTGAGGTGGAAAAGCCTCTTAGGAGGCTAATAGCTAGTGGATAGAGCAATAACTGTAATGATTTAATTCCTCAAGGATGGCTAAACAGGCTGCTGTTTACCAAAGCCTCAGTGGGTAATTACTAACGGATAATTACGAAAAGCTGCCAGATTACAGCTGCCCCAGGAAGGGCCGCGGCCCCAACCCGCTCAAGTCGCTTTCTGGGAAGGACCCAGGCGAGAATCTCCACTGCCCTCTCTGCTCGCTCCTTCCCTGGCTCTACCATCACTGGAAAGCTCCCCTGGGTGATTATCTCCCCAGAGACACACACGATGCCTTTAACCCGGCTCCTCAAGCAGCCTGTTTCCCTGTCCCTCTCCGGTTAGAAGACAGAGGACAGCAGTACATTTGCTCTAGGAGCACAGCTCTGAGACAAGCTTTGATGGAGGGGCTCAGGGGGTCCCCTGCGGCTCAAGCCCTCCTTGGCTGTCTGGGAAGGTGGAGGGCACGCTGAGGTTGGCCCTTAGGGACCACTGGCCACCTGACCCAGAAGTTGGTCCCAGAGCCCAAGAAAAGAAAGGAAGAAAGTGTGTAACCCATATACAGAGTGGGCCTCCTGGGGCCTCCCCTGCTCTCACCCCCAGAGGTCACTACATCTCCCATCCTGTGCTCCTTCCCCAACTCCAAACACACCTCCACCATCCCTCCAAACCCCCTCAGCCACAGGCGCTCCCAGCCCCAGCAGGACACCAGCCCACAAATTATGTCATGACCAGCTATGGTTCCTCGAGCTTGTCCCTGGGAGGAGCTCCCCAGCCTTACCAAGGGTGTTCGGACCAGAGGCCTCACCTGCCTGTCCCTCGGGTCACAGGGCCCATCAGATTCTGCAACGCGCTCATGTTCACGGTCATTGTTGGGGCTGTCCAGGGAAAGAAGATGTTCTCTATTGTCATGATCATTGGTCATGGTCACCTTCAAGGTCATGGTTTGGGGTTTTTCCTGGCCTGGGACTAGGTCCTACCTGCAAGTAAAGATATTCTCTGTGGTCATGGCCATTGGTCATGGTCATCTTCAAGGTCATGGCTAGAGGCTGTTCTTGTCCTGGGTGAAGATGTTCTTTATGGTTATCCAGTCCAGGCCAACAGCTCCATTCTTGCATGTCCTGTAATACCCATTCAAGTGGTCCTTCAGCTGCAGGAACAGGGAGCTCCCTATGCCCAAGTCCACCCATCCTGTGGCAGGCAGTTTCAGGAGGAGGTTTCCCCTACACCAGGCCAAAAGTGGACCCTTGACCTTTGGAGCTAATCCAACAGCCTCAGGGAGCTCAGAACAGTCTTTGCTTTTTCTCTAACAAGACTTCAAACATCAGAGATGCTTCTTCTGTCCCACACAAAGTCTCCTTCATTCCAGGCAGAATGTATGACGCTTTGGCCATTTCTCCAATGCCAGGGGTCCAGGTGTCCTTGCCACCAGGGTCACGCTCCATGAACAGACACCATCTTGCTCTGTCCTTCTGTGGCGTGGTGCCCAAGATGAGCTGATGGGATCCAACATGGCCCAGCCACGCACAGAGCTGCAGGAGCACCCCTCCCCCCACCCAGGCCCTGCCCAGCTGGCTCCTCCCGCCACGGGCTTCTGTCCTGCTTATGACAATGAGGGTGCTGGCTCTACCAGGGAGCGTTTCAGATGCCAGGGACTGAAGCCTACTCAAATCAGCTCACAAAAAGTGGACTTTAGCCAGAAGTCTGAAAATATGTCAAGGAACTGAGGGCAGAAAGTGCAGGTATGGAAAATGGTGACCCGATGCTGGCTGGGACAACTCAATGGCCTTCTCTAGCCCTGCCCCAGCCCGGCCGGGGCTGCCCAGTTTCTCCCCGCTCCTCTCTGATCATCAGACTCTTCATTCTTCCCTCTCCTCCAGAACCCTTTTCTCTGCACCTGCTCAAACCCTCAAACATGGCCGCCCTAGCTCCAGGGCCACCATCCAACTGATGAATGTCTCCGGTCCCAGTCCAAAATTCTGGGGGGGAACGAAGCTGATGAGCTCATCTTGCCGAAAGACTGGATCTCCTTGGATCAAGTCTCCTCTCTGGTCCAATCAGCTGTGGCCCAGGAGGGGTGAGTGCCAGTGTTCAAACATGGGGCTTACCCGAGGGGTGCCCTGGGGGAGGGTGTGGGTGAGCAGAGCTGCCCCTCCCCCCAGGAATGAGCTATCTATGCTGCTGCGTCCGTCCTTCCACGTCTCCAGCCCCCACCCTGTACTCACAACGGGACCTGATACAGGGCTCGTCCCCTTGTTCCTGAACCTTTTCCTTTTCTAAGATTGTCCGTCTCGTCAGCCAGTGGGGTCATTTTCTAATCCTAATTCTGGCTTCTAATATAGATGCTGTCCACCCTCATGCTGTTCAAAATCTGACGCCTGTGTCTCGTGGGTCCCCATCTGAGCTGCTAACCACCGGCCTAACCCAAGCTGGATGGGCATTGCTGGGGCAACCATGGGTTCTGGCCTAGGGCTCTGGTGGCTGGAATCCAACCAACTGGATTGTGGGCAAAGTTCCTGTCTCTGCTGTCCCCACCCTGGCCTCGTCCCTCCTGCCACAAGCCTGGCCTCCGATAATCACACTGCCCCATACCCCTGACTGAGTCCCAGCCCCAGCCCGTCAGGGGTCCCCGGGGGGCAGCTCCGATCCCAGCCCCACCCATTCCGAAGACCTGGAGGCCTCAGAGCCTCTCTGTGGGATCCTACTGGATGGCAGAATGAGCACACATTTCCACTTGAAGTGTTTTGACACAAAGCACTGCTGAGCAGGCAGCCTGGGCTCCTCCATTCAGAAGGCGGCCCTGCGTGACAGGCTGAGAATGAGGAGAACTTCAGCGCTAGGGACCCCTCATCCGGGTGCTGGGCAGTCACAGGGACATGCGGAGGATTCACCAGACTCTGAGGACACGCTTCTCTGCCACTCACCTCCCCAAAGGCGGGGAGCACCTCACAAATGCACATCCCAGATACACCAAACAGGCAGAAAGAGCCTCCCGCTAACCTGGGCAGCCCCAGATTTTCAGAGCCATCTCAGCAGGCTTGGTGGGGCTCGTTTTCAGGATTTCCATTAACATTTTCATGGCCACGTGAAAAATATTGCATTACTAATTCAGTTTCTACGGAAAAAAAATTCCAACTTGCTTTTCTAACTTAAGGTTTTTCAGGAAGACAGATAAGACTTCCTGAATCTGGAGGCAGTGGGTAAGTCATTACTCAGACCATGCTTAGGAATGTTCTGGTGGTACAGCCGGCTTCCTGCTCAGGAAGAGGGATAGTGGGGATCCAGGCCCCTCTGACCACATTTTCCAAAACTGGCCCTTTTACAGCTCTTTCTTCCAAGCTAGTATGCTGTGATGATGGCCATTAGACGATAGTAAATGGCCAGTAGGGGAAGTTGGAGGGAAGCAAGACCGCGGGACGGGGAGGGTCGGGCTCACTCCATTCTCCTCTCCCCCAGCCCAAAACTATCTACCTCGTCACGCCCTGGAGACAGGTGGCACGTGGCAGGCACGCCTGGGTCCACCTCTGACCCTGCTGCGCCTTGGGGACAGGTGTCACTCCCACTGCCCTGGCCCCGACAGCGCCCGCCCCAAGCCTGTGTCATGCATGGCCGAGCACACAGCCAGGAGGGTGGGGTTACCCCCAGGGGCAAACCTCAGGCATCGGGCGAGGAGCCAGCAGGTGGCTTGGCCCTGCATCATCTTTCCTGTGGACAGTCCGCCCCCAGCCTGCAGGTCCCCGTGGAATCGGGCATCATGGCCCCAGCCGTGCCCTCCACTACCCAGGGTTAGCTTTTCCCCTTTTCTGTTCTACTCCCTGCACCCCCCTGCCCCATCCGGCTTCCAGGAATCAGCTCCCAGCAAGCTTATCGGCCCCCAAATCCTCATCTCGGTCTCTCATGCCAGGAACCCAAACTAAAACACTGTCCCTCTCCCCGCCCCCAGGGGTCCACACGAGGTCTGGTGTGGAATCGACCCCTCACCCCCCATAAACATGCGCAGGATGAACTAAGGAAGCACCTGTTTTGTGCTTGGCGACATGAAGTTCCCTCCGGGACAGTCACACCAGGAAACTGTTACATAAACTGGGTTTCCTGATGCCCTGGCCCCGCCCTGCCCATCCTCAGCTGTATCCCAGCCAAGCACAGTCGCCCTCAGCGGCCACCGTGGTGCTGTCCGCGGGCCCAGCGGGGAGACTCAAGGCCAAAGCCGGCCCTTGTCTCTGGGCCCACAGAGCTCTCATTACCGAGGCCGCCACCCAGACAGGCTCATTCCTGCCTCGCCGGCCCACGAATGGCTCCATGGGGAATGTCGGGGCCATAACTGCTTTCTGCCCAGTGTCTGTCTCGGGTTCAGACACAACTCTCCCGGGGGGTGGCGAAGGACACGTTCACACAGGTCCACATCAGAGGCCTGGACACAGACGGGGGCAACACCCAACCCCCAGTCACCCTCCCAAATGCCTTCCAGAAGAGTCCATTGAAATGAAAGAGCAGGCCTCTCTGGGGACCAGGCAAATTGGAACACAGGAAGCAGAAAGACTGCACAGGAGAAGGGATCCTGCCCAGGGGTCCTAAGCCCAGAGTCTGCCTGCTGGCTCTGCCGGACAATTCCCCTCCCTCTCCAGGCCTCAGTCTGTCTGAGGAAGAAATGAGGGGCTTGACCTCACCTCCACCCAGAGGCTAGCCCAGCTCTGACCATTGTTCCCTGAACCGTGACCCCAGAGCACCAGGTCTGGGAGGTGGAGGTGGATGCTCCCTGGAAAACGTGTTCATTGGTCCAGTATCCTTGGGGGGCCCTGCACACAGGAGCCCCCTCTTAGAGACTGTCGTGGCACCACTAAAGGTCCTGAGAAGGCCTGCAGCCCAGAGTCCATTAACGTGTGGAGCCCAGAGTTTTCCTAATTCATGTGACCACAAAAAGGCTTTTCTCCAAAGACTCCTACTACTTCTAACACGCATATTGAGAGCTGATGACCCAGGCGTTTGACACTCTTACCAAGGCTCTTCTGAGGATTCTGTCTCCTTGGGATGTAGGGTCAGATGAATCCGCTCTGATAACAAAGGCCCTGGCGTAGAAAGACAGGTGTCTCCAGATGTACGTCCAGAACAATAGTCTAAGGAACAAAGAAAGGAAACACCTGAAACCTTGAAGGGTTGCTTGTTCCTGTTTGTGATTGAGGGTGTCCAGAGGCGGGGGCAACGGGCATCTCCACCTGGCTGGCCCTCAGCCAGCAGTTCCCTTCTCGCGCCAGCCTCAGTGTGTCCAAAGGTGGAATCGGGGGCTTGGGAAGACTGCCCCAGGGGCCAGCCGAGCTCTGACAATTGCTTCCCCAACCATGACCTCTGGGGGAGAGAGACAGACGTGCTGAATCCACACATCCAGCGCGAATCTTAGCTTTCTGGCCCCAAACCTGCCCCTCCTTGGGGGCCCCATCTCGCCGCCATCTCCCCAGTTGCCCCAGACAGAAATAAAATGTCACCCTCCTCCCCAACCCGCCCACCACATTGCCACGCCCAGTCTCCAACACCTAGTAATGCCACCTGGTAAACAGCCCTCAAACCCTTCCTCTCATCTCCATCCCCTCCATCATTCAACAGCAAATATTTACAGAGCACATCCCATGTGTCAGGTCACCACCTTAATTCTGCCCGACGTTCCCTGTACAGAGCGTCACAAGAGCCTCCACAGGTCCTCCTTCCTTGCTGCCCCCAGAGTCTCTTTCCAAATGCAGACCTCAGCGGTCCCATGGCCCTCTGGGTCCCATCCAAACTCCTCAGCCTCACGTGGTCTGACCACAGCTGCCTGCCTTTCCTGCTTCTCCGACACTCACCCTTTCCTTGATGCTAAGATGCTGACAACCGCATCCATTGCAAGGCGCTCCGGAGAGGACCAGCTAAGGTAATGCTCACAAAACACAGAACCAGTATCACAGCATGAAGGGAAGCATGCAGGATAGCACGCTTCTGTTTGCAGAAAGAGAGTCTGGCATTCAGTCCCCCCACCAGCAAGGTAACACCTCCCCGAGCTCATCCTTTCCAACGCAGACTCCACCTACCTGCCGGGAGAAATTAAGCCACTGAAGCTGTTCACTGAAGGAAGGTGGAAAGTTTGCACCCTGAATTCCACCACTGCCCGCTCTGTCCAGGCCTCTCCTCAAGCAAGGCCCAGGATGCCCTCCCTGGTGAGACACAGAGCCACCCCCAGGGCTGGGGTCTTCTCCACAGAGGACAACACTCCCCCATGCCCACCCCACAGGGATGGGCTCCAGGACAGGCTGTCACTATGGGATGTCACAGTGTCAGCCTGGAGAGGTTCCCGGGCACTGAGGGTTGTAAACACCCCCCTAATCACAGATCTCAGCAGGAACACCTGCTCCCAGGGGCGCACTCCGCAGGCAGCTCACCCAGGGCAGCCCCCCGCACCACAAGAGGCTGCCCTGATGCATCATGGATGAGGCTGCGGTGAGGCCGGGCAGGGCCTGAGTCCCTCTGACCTCCAGGGCCTTTC